AATAATATTTGCATAGCTTGGATACAGTTAATCCCAATAATGTCGCTATTTCTATCGAGGGAGATACTGGAGAGACAAATCATTCCAATTCAATCTGTTATCTCCCAGAGTGAAATCAATGTGTTCCTTGTATATGGAGATGGTCAGTCTCTGGAGGGGTTACAAATGGTTTTATACTCAAAGGAAATTGGCTATAAGAAGCCTCTTGAGAAGGTGTGGATCACAACATGTGAGTGGGATTTCACTGCTCAGAACCCTGCGAGAAATTTAGCAAAATTTCCTTCAATGGGACATTGTCCTTCTCACTCCATACAAACGTAGTGCCAGGATTCCAAGAGTTTGTTGGGACAATAAATCCCCTGAAGTCTTCATTTTATTTCCTCTCTGAATTCTGGACATCGACATTCTTCTGCTCACTCAATGCTCACAGACGGTATGTTGAGAAAATGGAAAATTGCACTGGGGAAGAGAAGCTGGAGAGCCTCCCTGGATCTGTCTTTGAAATGGGCATGTCTGGCTGGAGCTACAGCATCTACAATGCTGTTTATGCTGTAGCACATTCTCTCCATGCTTTGTCTTCCAGGAGATGGAAATGGAGGGGAAGCAGAAAGCAAGGCCAATGGAATCTCCAAAAAGATCACCCATGGCAGGTACTTACAACTAAATTGGTCAACTAATTTAAAATGCCAAAATATATTTAAAAAAAAAATCAAAATAGAACTAAAACAAAAGCATACATGATGGAACAACAGATAAAAGCTAGTAAGCATAATCAGCTTTGGAAATTACAAAGGAAAAAGAAAAAAAGGTGACCTTATTAATTGGTTATTAATTATCCTCTAATAAGGTGATGCAGTTTTTGCATTTTTCAGTTAAAAAATGTAGAAGAATGTTGAGAGCTATCTAAATTGGGAGTGCCACATTTTTGGTGATAAATTATCAAAGAAAAGAGAGATTTCTTTAAAGAAATACTTAAAGTGATTTAGAAATTGAGAATGCAGATGTGCCAGTGAAATTGATGCCAAAGTGGATAATTTAATGCATTATGAATCTCTTCCTTATTGAATTAACTAAAACAATCAATTGCTTAATTCCACTATGAGGACACTGTTTCTGTCATCTTACATGGTTTAGAGCAAGTGGGATGAATCTATGGTGAGCTGGAGAGGCTCAGGTGAAAAATATTGCTGATATGGCTAAACTTTCATGTCTCTTTGGATAAACCTTTTCAATTCTTGGCATTCTTCAAAAGCACAAATTTGCAGTATTGTGGGAAATCTCTATTTAAATGTCAGATCACTGACATTTCAGGTGATATTTTCTACAATTTAGAATGGTAATCAACTTTTCCCTTTTCCATCTAGCTTAATTATTTTTTGAGACAAGTCCGCTTTAACAATAATGCTGGAGATGAAATATTTCTGGATGAAAATAGAGACTTAGCAATAGGCTATGACCTCATCAATTTGGTGACGTTCCCTAATGAAACCTTCCAGAGAGTCCAAGTAGGAAGAATTGATTCCCATGTTCCAGTTGGAAAAGAATTCACTCTTAATGCAAGTACCATTACCTGGAATCCCAAGTTTCATCAGGTTGGAACTATTATATTTTCCTGTTCTTAATATTAGTTTCCTCTGAGTGGTGTTTCAAAACCACAGTCTGGAAAGTGACAAGAGCTATGTGAATTTGGAAGATGTATCAGAAAAGAGAAAAACACAATTTTGACTATATTGTTCTCATACTTCTATTTCACAACTAGATTTGATCTGGTCCTGAAATGTAGAGGAAGACTAAAATGTCTGGAGCATCGAAGCTCTGGGCTTTTAGGGAAAAAGATGGAAAGGAAGGCGTGTCTCTTTTGCAGAAAGTAGAAAGGAAGAGCACTGATTAGATAATTTGACATGGGAATGAATTTCTTATTTGTAATGAGGGAGAAATAGTTACATGATGGTATCTCCAAGATCCATATGTTCTTTACTCTTTGGGGACTGTTGTTTTTAGGGGAGTGTTTGGTTGAATTTTAACCTAAGAGAGGAGAAATCTGTGAAGCTTAACCATTTGTAATTGAAATGAGTGGTTTAAGCCTGTTAGTGTAACGTTTCACTCATTGAAAAAACTACTAGTTAAACAATCCAAGAAAGTTTGAAAAAGTTGGGAAGGAACTGTTAAAAAAGAAAATCTATCCATGGCTGCTCCTTCCGAAGGAGTCTGGTAGGGCTTTTTCTGACATGAGAACCAGGCCCTGCAACAAACCCAGGCTTTATCCCTCTACAATCCACACCAACAGTTACAGGCCCAACTAGTGGACACACAAGTTTAGAGGCACCTTCACATACTCTTCCTCTAATACGATGAATGCCTTAATCTGCCAGCCGTGCCCCAATAGGACAATTGGGACTCATTTTGTAGAAAAACATTAATGTCTCAAAAGGAGAGCAAAGTAATGACAGAGCAATTCCACCTCCCAGGGCACTCTATGGCAGACTTCAAAGTGATTTTTTTGGGAAAACTGAGTTTTAAGACCACTATTGAATGAGAGATTTGGTGACCTCACATACATTAAAAGGTTTCAGCCCATGTCAGAAGGTATCAACAAACATAATAGATTGTTACACATTACAATTGTTCATTGATAAGGAACTTACAATCTGTGTCATGTGCAGCCTCCATCTTCATAACCAAACTTCCCATCCCTTCCGCTTTCCTTACCCTAATATAAATCCTACATCAACCAATGCAACTGATGGCTCTCTTCCTACAATGCTGCTTCTTCAGTCATCTAACCTCTGCTCACGTTGGCAGTAAATATTTGCTGAAGAATTATGGTCATCAGAGGATTGTGGTGTCATGAATCTTTGAAAGACATTAATGCCTGGATGCCTTCCTCAGGTATTTTCTACTGACATAATTTCCAAGATCTATCTGCTCCAAACATATGTACTTCAGATTTAGCACTGAGAGGAGAAAATTCCTCTAATTCTCATTCTAAATACTCTTTTATTTTTTGGAGAATATTAACAGATGGTGCCAAATTCGACCTGTGTTGAGAGCTGCCATCCTGGACAGAGCATGCTTATTCAGCAGGGGAAACAGATCTGTTGCTATGATTGTATTCAGTGCCCTTCAGGGAGGATCTCAACACAAATGGGTAAGTGAAGGACTCAGAGCTACTTACGTAGGAGAACGTGCAGATATTTTGAGTTTTGTTCTAGTGGAGTATTTTTCTCCCTTACCTACATTTAGTTACTTTATTACCATCTATTTTCTTGAATAGTATAGTAAAAGGTTATCCTCATATTGTTTTGTGGTTTTTAAATGACTTTTGTAGACTTCCAAACTTGTTTTTCTCCATCAGGTAATGTATAAAGATAACAAGGTGTGGATAATATTTCTGCAAGTTTTATCTGATTACTGAATCTTTGCTTGTGATCTTCAGATGCAGCTGAATGTGAGCTGTGCCCAGAAGATCAGTATCCGAGCACGAATCAGCATGAATGCATTCCCAAAGTAATGACTTACCTGTCCTATGAAGATGGCCTGGGAGCAGCTTTGACAGTTTTGGCTCTTTTCCTTTCTATGGCCACAGTCATTGTGATGGGGATCTTCAGGTTACACTCAAACACTCCCATTGTTAAAGCCAACAACTGGAGCATCACGTGTATCCTGCTCTCCTCTCTGCTCCTATGTTTTCTCTGCCCCTTCTTCTTCATAGGAAGACCTAGGAAGGTAACCTGCCTTTTAAGGCAGGCTGTGTTTGGCATCACCTTCTCCACTGCTGTTTCCTGCGTACTAGCCAAAACAATCACTGTGGTTTTGGCCTTTGTGGCTACGAAACCAGGGAATAAGATGAGGAAATGGGTGGGAAAGAGGCTAGCAGACTTGGTCATTGTGGTTTGTTCTTTGATTCAGATTTGCATCTGTGCTGTTTGGCTGGCGACCCAGCCCCCCTTTCCAGAATTAGAGAAGCATTCCCAAGTGGGTGAGATCATAGTGCAGTGCCATGAAGGCTCAGAGATCATGTTCTATGTTGTGCTGGGCTACATGGGTCTTTTAGCCATCGTCAGCTTCACGATGGCTTTCTTTGCCAGGAAACTGCCTGACACTTTCAATGAAGCCAAGTTCATCACTTTCAGCATGTTGGTGTTTTGCAGTGTTTGGTTGTCCTTCATCCCCACCTACCTGAGCACAAAGGGGAAATTCATGGTAGCCGTGGAGATCTTCTCCATATTAGCCTCTGCTTTGGGTTTATTGGGTTGTATTTTCCTTCCCAAATGCTACATTATTATAATGCATCCTGAATTAAATAAGAAGGAGCAAATGGTAAGGAAAAGGTATGATTGATACTGCATGAGAAGGAGCTAGGAGTAGCATGTGATAGATGTAAAAAAGAAAAGAAGATTGCTACCATCCCTGAAAGTTTCAGAGTTA